GCCGTCGCCGCCGACATAGTCGTCGTCGTCGCAACCGCTGCCGCAACCGCCACCCTCGCCCTCGTCGCTGACGTCGTCGTCATCGTAGCCGCCGCCGCCGTCGACGGCGACGTCGTCGCCGCCGTCGTCGCCATCGACGTCGGCGTCGACGAGGCCGCCGCCGTCGTCGCCGTCGTCGTCGCCGTCGTCGTCGCCGCTGTCGTCGTCGCCGTCGTCGTCGACTTCGTCCTCTTCGCCGCGGCCGTCGCCGCCGTCGTCGTCGACGACGCCGCCGACGTCGTCGCCGTCGTGGTCGCCGCCGCCGTCGTTGCCGTCGTCGCCGGCCGTCGTCGCCGATGGTCGTCACCGTCGTCGTCGACGACGTAATCGTCACCGTCGTCGTCGACGTCGTCGCTGTCGTCGTCGCCGCAGCCGTCGAAACTGGCTTTGTCGCCGTCGTCGTCATCGTCGTCGTCCTCGCCGTCGTCGTCATCGTCGTCATCGCCACCGTCATCGTCGTCGCCGCCGCAGTCACCGTCGTCGTTGTCGCCGCCGCCGTCGTTGCCCTCGTCGTCGCCGCCGTCGCCGACGCTGTCGTCGACCCGTCGTCGTCGCCGTCGTCGTCGACGTCGTTGCTGTCGTTGTCGCCGCCGCCGTCGACACTGGCGTTGTTGCCGTCGTTGTCAACGCCGTCGTCATCGCCGTCGACGTCATCGTCGTCGCCGCCGTCGTCGTCGCCGTCGCTGCCGACGTGGTCGTCGTCGTCGCAGCCGCCGCCACAAGCGCCGCATTCGCCCTCGTCGCCGGCGTCGTCGTCGTCGTCGCCACCACCGCAGTCGACGTCGTCGTCGACGTCGCAGTCGCCGTCGCCGTCGTCGCCGTCGTCGACGGCGTCGTCGTCGCCGCCGCCGTCGTCGCCATCGTCGTCGGCGGTGACGATGCCGCCGCCGTCGTCGCCATCGTCGTCGCCGTCGTCGTCGACGCTGTCGTCGTCGCCGTCGTCGTCGACTTCGTCGTCTTCGCCGCGGCCGTCGCCGTCGTCGTCGACGACGCCAGCGCCGTCGACGTCGTCGTCGTCGCCGCCGCCGTCGTTGCCGTCGTCGTCGCCGTCGTCGCCGACCGTCGTCGCCGTCGTCGTCGACGCCGACATCGTCACCATCGTCGTCGACGTCGTCGCTGTCGTCGTCGCCGTCGCCGTCGTCACTGGCTTTGTTGCCGTCGTCGTCGACGCCGTCGCCATCGCCGTCGTCGTCATCGTCGTCGTCGCCACCGTCATCGCCGCCGTCGCCGCAGACGACGTCGCCGCCGCACTTACCGTCGTCGTTGTCGCCGCCGCCGTCCTTGCCGTCGCCGTCGCCGCCGTCGCCGACGCTGTCGTCGACCCGTCGTCGTCGCCGACCGTCGTCGACGTCGTCGCTGTCGTCGTCGCCGCCGCCGTCGTCACCGGCGTTGTCACCGTCATCGCCGACGCCGTCGTCATCGCCGTCGTCGTCATCGTTGTCGCCGCCGTCGTCGCCGTCGCCGCCGACGTGGTCGTCGTCGCCGCAGCCGCCGCCGCAACCGCCACCCTCGCCCTCGTCGTCGACGTCGTAATCGTCGTCGTCGCCGTCGCCGTCGACGTCGTCGTTGTCGCCGCCGCCGTCGTTGCCGTCGTCGTCGCCGTCGTCGCCGACCGTCGTCGCCGTCGTCGTCGACACCATCGTCACCGTCGTCGTTGACGTCGTGGCTGTCGTCGTCGCCGCCATCGTCACCGTCGTCGTCGACGTCGTCGCTGTCGTCGTCGCCGTCGTCGTCGACGTCGTCACCGTCGTCGTCGACGCCATCGTCACCGTCGTCGTCGCCGCCGTCGTCGTCGCCGTCGCCGCCGACATAGTTGTCGTCGTCGCAGCCGCCGCCGCAACCGCCGCAACCGCCACCCTCGCCCCTGTCGCTGACGTCGTCGCCGTCGTCGTCGCCGCCGCCGCCGCCGTCGTCGCCGTCGTCGGCGTCGACGGCGACGTCGTCGCCGCAGTCTTCGTCGCCGCCGACGTCGGCGTCGACGACGCCGCCGCCGTCGACGTCGTCGTCGTCGTCGCCTCCGCCGTCGACGCTGTCGTCGTCGCCGTCGTGGTCGACTTCGTCCTCTTCGCCGCGGACGTCGTCGTCGTCGTCAACGTCGCCGCCATGGTCGACGACGCCGCCGCCGTCGTCGCCGCCGTCGTTGTCGCCGTCGTCGTCGACGCTGTCGTCGTCGCCGTCGTGGTCGACTCCGTCCACTTCGCCGCGGCCGTCGTCGTCATCGTCGACGTCGCCGGCGCCGTCGACGTCGTCGTTGTCGCCGCCGCCGTCGTTGCCGTCGTCGTCGCCGTCGTCGCCAACTGTCGTCGCCGTTGTCGTCGACGCCGACATCGTCATCGTCGTCGTCGACGTCGTCGCTGTCGTCGTCGCCGCCGCCGTCGTCACTGGCTTTGTCGCCGTCGTCGTCGACGCCGTCGTCATCGCCGTCGCCGCAGACGACGTCGCCGCCGCAGTCACCGTCGTCGTTGTCGCCGCCGCCACGTCTACGACGCTGTCGTCGACGCCGTCGTCGTCACCGTCGACGCTGTCGCCGACGCCGCTACGTCACCGTCGTCGTTGTTGCCCTCGTCGTCGCCGCCGTCTACGACGCTGTCGTCGACGCCGTCGTCGTCGCCGTCGTCGTCGACGTCGACGCTGTCGTCGTCGCCGCCGTGGTCGACTTCGTCCTCTTCACCGCGGCCGTCGTCGTCGTCGTCGACGTCGCCGGCGCCGTCGACGTCGTCGTTGTCGCCGCCGCCGTCGTTGCCGTCGTCGTCGCCGTAATCGCCGACCGTCGTCGCCGTCGTCGTCGACGCCGTCGTAATGGTCGTCGTCGACGTCGTCGCTGTCGTCGTCGCCGACATCGTCACCGTCGTCGCCGACGTCGTCGCTGTCGTCGTCGCCGTCGTCGTCGACGACATCGTCACCGTCGTCGTCGACGTCGTCACCGTCGTCGTCGACGCCATCGACACCGTCGTCGTCGCCGCCGTCGTCGTCGCCGTCGCCTCCGACATAGTCGTCGTCGTCGCAACCACCGCCGCAACCGCCACCCTCGCCCTCGTCGCTGACGTCGTCGTCGTCGTCGTCGTCGTCGCCGCCGCCGCCGCCGCCGTCGACGTCGTCGTCGACGTCGCCGTCGCCGTCAACGTCGCCTTCGTCGTCGTCGACGGCGACGTGGTCGCCGCCGTCGTCGTCACCGTCGACGTCGGCGTCGACGACCCCGCCGCCGTCGTCGTCGTCGTCGTCGCCGTCGTCGTCGACGCTGTCGTCGTCGCCGTCGTGGTCGAGTTCGTCCTCTTCGCCGCGGCCGTCGTCGTCGTCGTCGACGTCGCCGCCGCCGTCGACGTCGTCGTTGTCGCCGCCGCCGTTGTCGCCGTCGTCGTCGCCGTCGTCGCCGGCCGTCGTCGCCGACCGTCGTCGCCGTCGTCGTCGACACCGACATCGTCGTCGTCGACGTCTTCGCTGTCGTCGTCGCCGCCGCGGTCGTCACTGGCTTTGTCGCCGTCGTCGTCGGCGCCGTCGTCATCGCCGTCGTCGTCATCGTCGTCGTCGCCGCCCAGGTCGTCGCCGTCGCCGCAGACGACGTCGCCGCCGCAGTCACCGTCGTCGTAATCGCCGCCGCCGTCGTTGCCCTCGTCGTCGCCGCCGTCGCCGTCGTCGTCGACGCCGTCGTCGTCGCCGTCGTCGTCGACGTCGACGCTGCCGTCGTCGCCGCCATGGTCGACTTCGTCCTCTTCGCCGCGGCCGTCATCGTCGTCGTCGTCGACGTCGCCGGCGCCGTCGACGTCGTCGTTGTCGCCGCCGCCGTCGTCGCCGTCGTCGCCGATCGTCGTCGCCGACCGTGGTCGCCCTCGTCGTCGACGCCATCGTCACCGTCGTCGTCGACGTCGTCGTCGTCACCGTCGTCGTCGACCGTCGTCGTCGCCATCGCCATCGTCACCGTCGTCGTCGTCCGCCGTCGTCGTCGCCGTCGCCGCCGACATAGTCGTCGTCGTCGCAGCCGCCGCCGCAGGCGCCACCCTCGCCCTCGTCGCTGACGTCGCCGTCGTCGTCGCCGCCGCCGCCGTCGACGTCGACGTCGCCGTCGCCGTCAACGTAGCCGTCGTCGTCGTCGACGTCGGCGTCGACGACGCCGCCGCCGTCGTCGTCGTCGTCGGCGTCGCCATAGTCGTCGACGCTGTCGTCGTCGCCGCCGTGGTCGACTTCGTCCTCTTCGCCGCGGCCGTCGTCGTCGTCGTCGACGTCGCCGCCGCCGTCGACGTCGTCGTTGTCGCCGCCGCCGTCGTTGCCGTCGTCGTCGCCGTCGTCGCCGACCGTCGTCGCCGTCGTCGACGCCGACATCGTCATCGTCGTCGTCGACGTCGTCGCTGTCGTCGTCACCGTCGTCGTCGACGCCGTCGTCATCGCCGTCGTCGTCATCGTCGTCGTCGCCGCCCAGGTCGTCGCCGTCGCCGCAGACGACGTCGCCGCCGCAGTCACCGTCGTCGTTGTCGCCGCCGCCGTCGTTGCCCTCGTCGTCGCCGCCGTCGACGACGCTGTTGTCGACGCCGTCGTCGTCGCCGTCGTCGTCGACGTCGACGTTGTCGTCGTCGCCGTGGTCGACTTCGTCCTCTTCGCCGCGGCCGTCGTCGTCGTCGTCAACGTCGCCGCCGCCGTCGACGTCGTCGTTGTCGCCGCCGCCGTCGTTGCCGTCGTCGCCGACCGTCGTCGCCGACCGTCGTCGCCCTCGTCGTCGACGCCATCGTCACCGTCGTCGTCGTCGTCGTCGCTGTCGTCGTCGCCGCCATCGTCACCGTCGTCGTCGACGTCGTCGCTGTCGTCGTCGCCGTCGTCGTCGACGCCATCGTCACCGTCGTCGTCGACGTCGTCACCGTCGTCGTCGACGCCATCGTCACCGTCGTCGTCGCCGCCGTCGTCGCCGGCGCCGCCGACGTCGCGCACGCGACGGCAAAAATCGTTTGCGGCGAGAGCGCGCGTCGGCCCGCCTTCGGCGGGACGGCGGCCGCGGAGAGCCCGGGCGGCGCGTAGACGGGCGGCACGCCGACGGGGCCTCCGCTCTCGGGCGGGGGGCCCTCCCGGACCCCTTCCCCGGAGGAGGAGGAGGAGGAGGAAAAGGAGGAGGAGGAGGAGTAGGAGAAGGGAGGAGGAAGAGGAGGGGGAGGGGGACAAGGGATGAGGAGGAGGAGGGGGGGGGCCTCCCGGACCCCTCCACGGGCCAGTATCGGCAGCGACCCTGGGGGAAGTGAGCGACGATCAAAAACGGGTCTTGCGCGAGACGGCACAGCGACCTCACGTGGCGGCTTTGGCGGCCCTCTTGGCGCGCCACATTTGAGACGAGGGCGTTTACGCGCGATCTCATGCGGGCAGCTTCCGCGCCAATGTCGGCGCAATGGACCCCGTTTCTTGCGTCGCTCAAATGAGAAGGGGCGGTCCTTCTCAGAAGGTTTGGAACTCCCCTGCCTTCTGAGAAGTTCTCTGAGCCTCCCCCTGGGAACGGAGAACCTCTCAGAAGGCGCGATGGCCCCCGAGAGGTCCCGCCGCCCTCTGAGAGGGCCTCCTTCTTCTCACTTCCCCCCTTTCTCTCGCCGCCGACAGGAAGAGATCGAGTAAGAAACACCAGCATAAACACAACCCTTCGGAGTTCCGCACGAATTTCTCGATGGGCGCTGGGGCCCCTTGGCGGCGCCTCCGGGCCTCACCCCTGGCGCGCTCCGTGTGCCAGGGAGAGGGGGATCCAGCGGCGATCCAAGGAAGCCGCCCTCAACTCCAAACGTTTACGTGTGAGGAACTGCTTCTTCTTCTTCTTCTTCTTCCGGGCTCCGCGCCGCCAGCCGCCTCCGCCGCTGGTCCAGCGCGTCGGCGTCGCCGTCGCAAGAAGAAGGAGCACCAGGACGCCGGCAATGACGACGACGACAGAGGTCGAGGCGCAGGGCGAAGAAGACGACGCCTACGACGACAACGACGACAACGAAGACGGCGACGACGACGACGGCATGGGCCGACGTCGACGTCGACGACGACGACGACGACGACACCGACAACAGCAACAGCAACAATAACAGCAACAACAACAACAACAACAACAACAACAACAACAACAACAACAACAACAACAACAACAAATACAACGACGACGACGACGACGACGACAACAACGACAACGACAACGACTACGACTACGACTACGACAACGACGGCAACAACGACAAAAACAATAGCAGCAACAACTACAAGAACAAGAACAACCACAACAGCAACAGCAGCAACAACAACCACAACAACAACAAACACAACGCCCACGACGATGGCAACGGCGTCGCCGTCGCAGCTCGCCAAATCTCCGAGGATTGTGTTTCCAATCCGGGCGCGTTGCTGAAGCTCGACCTCCCGGGCCCGCTGCCGGGCCACGGATGCCCTCCAAAGGCGATCCGGGGGTGCGAAAGGCTACGCCAGGGGGAGGTGTCGAGACCTCCGGAGCCCAGGCGCTGCCCTTTGAGGCGCACCGACATTCCCCGGTAGATCGCTACGGTGGGGTCTTTTCGTGTCGACCCCGGGGCGCTCCGCTCGCCAGGGAGGGGGGCAAGCGCCGATCCGAGAAATCCGCGCGGACCTCCGACTTCTGATGTTTACGTAAGTGTTTGTTCCCCGATGTACAGTGCATCCCTCTGCTCCGCCTCTGGTCACGGGCTCGACGATGCTCGCTCGATGCCGCACCGTAGGCAATGGGGCCCGAAGAGCCCCTAGGGGGCGAAGCACGCAGCTTGTTTTCTTTTCGCTCGAGACTCGATCCAAAGCAAGGGTGGGGTGGCAGCTCAGAAGGGAGGCATCGAGCCTGAGTCGGCGATGCGTCGTCGACGTTGCGATCAAACTGCAGCATCGCGACCTAGACTCCATCGTATTTATGCGTCCGCTGTTCGAGCTGGATCGATCTGCAATTGTCCTGGAGCCCGAACAACCAAGCGAATACGCCTGCTGCGAAAAGAAGTGCGACGCCCCGATCTCAGGGGAGGAGGAGAAGGAGGAGGAGGCGGAGGACGGAAGAGAAGGAGGGCGCAGGAGAAGCAGGGGGAAGATGAGGAAGAGGAGGCGGTGGAGGAGGGAAGAGGGGGCGGGCGGAGGAGGGGAAAAGAGAAGGAAGGGGACACGGAGGAGGGAGGAGGGCGGTGGAGAAGGAGGGGGAACAGGAGGAGGAGGAGGAGGAGGAGGAGGAGGAGGAGGGAGGGGAGCATGATGAGGAACAAAAATGCGACGCACAAATTTGAGGGGATCACGGTCGTCGCTGGAACCGTGGACACGCCAGGCTGCCCCGATCGCTTCCGCAAGGCCTTCGCCGGCGGAGACCCGCCCCCATCTTACTTCCGCTGGCTCCCGCTGGGCCTCCTGCGTGGCTTCCCTCCGCCGCAGCGAGGGCCGAGCCTCCCGCCCCACCGCGGGCAGGGGCCATCTTGAGAACGCCCTGGCTGCTCTCGCTGCTGGCGGGGGGGAAGACTGAGACGAAGACGAGTACAGCCAAGCCGCTGCAGGAAGGAGCGCAAAATACGAAACGAAACCCCAATTCGGCGCCGAAAGGGCCTGTGTGCCACGAGGAGGGCTGGAGGAACAACCCCAGGATGACCTACGGAACAGCGAGCAGCTTCCGAACCCAAAGCGGTCCTTATTTCAGCGTCTTGTTCAGAGGCAACACCTGGGAGGTTTTCGCAAGAACGACTAAGAAAGGCGATTACCCGATTAAGGCGCCACTTCACAAGATCAGGATCAGGCCGGATTCAGCCCAAGATTAAGCAGGATTACGCCGGATGAAGCAGGATTAAGCCGGATGACGCGGGACTAAGCCGAACTGAGCAAGATTGGATTAGCCCAAACTGAGCAGGTCTCGACCGCGAAAATAGCAGCCCCGATGTAGAATGTAACCTCCCAGGAGTTGCATCCCAGCGAGAGGAGCAAGACCAGGAGGAAGGAGGAGGAGGAAAGGGAAGAGGAGGAGGAGGAGATCGGCATGAGCAGTACGCAATCGTATTCTGAGGCTTGCAAGCATGCTACACACACTCGCACATGCGCGTGCACATTAGCATTAGCACTTGCGATAGCTCGGTTGGCATCCCGCCAGTGCGGGGCCTCCTGAATTCTCTTGGGCATGCCCTACGGGTGGGGACACAAACCCCGCGCAATTCGCCTTAGATTATGCTCACCCTTAGCTGTCTTATGGCCCCACTCCTCAGCCAGTGTTCTTACCATTAGACTGCTCCAGCCCCCGCAGGAAGGACAGAACACATATCGAATTGATCAACATACAAGAGGGTGTGCGACGGGTGCAGCGCCTTCCCGCCCACACTCAGACCCGACGGCGACGACCCTCCCGCCCAAGGACGATGCACGCACACCGCGCCAGCCTGTGCAAACTGCTGTGGCTTGCACTCTGACTTTGCGAACCACTCCAGGTCCGCGTGCAGGGCAGATCTCTCACATATTCGACAATGGAGGAGGAGGAGGAGGAGGAGGAGGAGGAGGGAGAGGAGGAGGAGGAGGAGAAGGAAGAGAAGGAAGGAGAAGAGAAGGAGGGGGGATCCGCGTGCGATAGGAGTCGTGCAGCTCAGGACAGAAGCACGTGCCACCTTGTGTGCACTGCTCAAAACGCACCTACCTGTACCAAACAGGCCTGCAAGCGCAAGGATCATTTCAGACAGCAAAGTATTGGGGCCAACGTCGACTTCGTCAGGCAAAACACACCCTAGGACGCGAGCGCAAGGAAGAGGAGGAAGAGGAAGGACAACGGCGAGGAGGACGTGGAGAAGAAGCACGACAGGGAGGAGGGAAAAGGAGGAGAAGAAAGAGGGGCGAATGATTTCTCCCCCAGAGGCGGGCCGAAGAGAGACGACGAGGGGGGGAACGTGGGGGGTGGGGGGAAGAAGGAGGACGGAGGAGCGATAACGGAGGGGGGAGGAGGTTACTGAATGGGGTGGGCCCGGCGGCGGCAAGCTCGAAGATGGCAGGGGGGAGGGCGATGATGACGGCGGAAACGGACAGAGAGGAGAGAGGAGAGCGGAGGGACTGATAAGGGAGGACGATGGGTGGAGGGAGGGAACAGGGAGCAGGGAGGATGTGCGTATAAGGGAAGGAAGAGAGGACAGAGGATAGGGGGGAGGAGGAACGTGTGATGTGCAATGGGAGCGAAGAGGGAAGGATGGACAGGGAGGAAGTAGGCAAGAAGGAGGGAAAAGGTCGGGAGAGGGCACCGGAAAAAGGAGAGGCAGACATGAGGAAGGACGGAGAAAGGGGATGAGGAGGGAGGAGAGGGGCAGGAGAGAGAGAGAGAGAGGAACACATGGGCGAGGCGGGGGACAGGGGGAGAGCTGGATAGCGCCAGGAAAAGAGGACGGAACAGGAAGCATGAGGGAGGATGGCGGAGGGAACCATAACGGAGGGTGGTATGAAGGAGTTCATCAATCCTTCCTCACTCAACCTTCCCCGTTCCTTCATCATCCCTGCCTGAAAGTCCACACCCACCTGGACCCTCTGAAACCCTCCGAGAACCAGCTGGGCCGCCAGAGGCTGGCGAAAACAATTCAGGAACCTTCCCGACCCGCTCCCAAGAAAGCCACCTTACCACCCTCATCCTCCAGAAGAAAGAGGAAGAGAAACAGGACGAGGAGGAAGGTGAACACGAGGAAGAGGACAGGAAAGTGGAGTAGAAAATGGTGGAGGGCATGCCCCCCCTTCCCGCCTGGTGGTAATGGCAACTGTTCGTGGGTAGACGTGGACGGCCGGGCCTGCGCGGGTTCACGTCATTGCTGCTGGCTGGCACTGCTCACCATCCACCGCAACATCATCCTCGTCCGTTTCGGGCAAAGTGGCGTTTTCTTCACCTATGGTCCTTGTCCCCCTCCCTCTTCTGTGAACCTCCTCTTCCTCGCCCCCCCTACCCGTCATGCACTTCCTCATCCTCCTCGGGGCCACCACAAATTTCACATGCGCCGGCAGCCTCCCGCACCCGAAGGTGCCTGCACCCACTTGACGGGCGCGGCACCTCCCGCGCCGCTCAACCCAGCGGTGCCGCGTGCCATTCTGAGTCGACGCGCGGGGCGCCTGAAACGCACGTGCAGCCAGGAGCGGGGGGGCGGGGCGAAAGCGCGCGCGCCGCCTGCGAAGGCGAGACGCGAGCGCCGATGCCTGCAAGATACACGAGCCAATGCCTGCAGCCCGCGCGACCCCGAGGCGCGCCGGGATCCACCCCGACGGGATCCCCGCGACGCGCCTGCACGGAGAGCGCAACGCAATGCAAACAGAGGACCGACCGTCGCCCCGTGCGCGCACGGGCCCTTCTCGCGGAATCGCGCGCAGCAGTGCACACGCCGTCGCCCTCCCTCGCGCGCGCGAACCCTTCTCGCGGGGCCGCGCGACGCGAGGCGCAGGAGAACGGCGGGCGGCCCGCGCGCGCAGTTCGCCTGCCTGCGCGCGGGCCAGGCGCGGGCGCGAAATGCGCGCCCGCGCGCGCCGCGCTTCAAGGGCGCGCGCTTCTGATGGCGTCGCGTGCCCACCGCGAATTTCAGCAGCGCCGGCAGCCTGTCGCGCCCGAAGGTGCCTGCCACTTGACACGGGGCGCGGCCCCCCCCCGCGCCGCCCAGCCTGGCGGCGCCAGTCTGAGCCAACGCGCGGGGCGGCAGGGGCGCAAGTGCCCCTAGATAGACGATGCACGCTGGTGCTCCGAGCGGCGGCGACGCGCGCCCCTCGCGAAATCGGGCGACGCGCGCGGCGGCGCCGCGATTTCATGACGCGCAGCGACGGGAGTGAGCGCACCAAGGCAGCGCGCGACGCCTGGGTCGCAAGTGCTTAGTCCAGGTCGTCCTCAGACTCAGCCAGGCGCGCCTCGACCGCTGTGCCGAGTTCTAGGTGCGCCGCGTCGAGGTGCGACAAGGAACGGGGCGAAGACCGTTCGCCCGTTTGAAGGGTCTCGCGCACGGCGCCCCCCAGATGCTGAAGGCCCAATGCGCGCCCGCGCCGAAGGTCATGAGCGCGATGGAGCGCTGCGTCTTTGACGCCGAGCTGGGCGCAGAAGAAGCGCAGCGCGCGCAGCGAGCCTGCCGGGCCAATGCCCGAGAATGGCCTGGCGCCCGCGGGCATGCCCGCGAACCTGGCGCCAAGCGCGTGAACTGGGCGCGCCGCTGTGCAGCGAGCGCATCAGCGCGCCCGCTGCAACGCGAAACCCACTTTTTTGTTCTTGCGGCGCGCTAATTTGAGCCGCAGGAAAGCCGTCGCACAGAATGAGGGGGGCCCCTGCGCCCTGGCGAAAGGCGACGCCGTCGAACGAAACTCCCAATGCTCCCCAGGGGAGACGCAAGAGAACAATGGGCGTGACAAGAATGAGCTGCGCGCAGACGGCGGATTCGGGCCGCCGTTTTGCAAGCTTCACAAGCGCGAAAATTGCGTCTTCCCAGATGGGCATAGGTGCGCCAGGCAGGAAGGCGCCACGCCTGCGAAACGCACGCGCGGCGCAGCGAAGGGGCGCAGCACGAAATGCGCCTCCAAGGGGGCCGCGGGACGGACGCGCCAGCTTCGCGCGCAAGACATCCGCCGGCCACCTTGCGGGGCCACCAGGCTGCGAGGGTGAAGATCGCAGCTCCCTGTTCCAAATGCAGTTCCCAAATTCCACGGTTAGAACCCCGCCGTTTCTTCCCCCACTGTTACGCGTTGCTGTCCGCGCGAGGGGCGGGAGACCCAAGCGGGATTTCATATCGCAACTTGGGGGGGGGCCTCAAAATTCCTGATCGCGCCCCCGAAGCCAAACCCTCGCGCATTGCGCAGCCTTCGCGCCCCCGAGGCCAAAATCCTTCTGCAAGATGCGCGATATATTCGCCCCCGAAGCCACGGGCTCTACATTCGCGCCCTCGAGACCAGAAACCAATGCAAAGCGCTCAATATTCGCGCCCTCGAGGCCATGAACCTTCGCAAACTGCGTGAGATTTGCGCCCCCGAAGCCGCAAAGCCACGTGCATTGCCCAATGTTCGCGCCCCCGGGGCGACGCAACCTGTCAAACTACTCGACGCTCGCGCCCTCCACAGAAACCACAGCAACGCGCTCAACATTCGCGCCCTCGAGGCTATGAGCCCTCGCAAACTGCTTGAAGCCGCGGACCCTCGTGCATTGCCCAACGTCCGCGCCCCCGAGGCGATGCAACCATGCAAATTACTACACGCTCGCGCCCTCGAGACAAGAAACCATTGCAACGCGCGCGATATTCGCGTCCTCGAGGCCACGACCCCTTCGCAAACTACGTGAGATTCGCACCCCCGAAGCAGCGAACCCTCGCACATTACCCAATGGACGCGCCCCCGAGGCGACACAACCTTACAAATTACGCAACATTCGCGCCCCCGAGACCACCAACCTTGCAAGCCATATGCCCGCGCCAGCAGGTTCGTAGCCAAACGCAGCGTAGGTTTGCAATGCAAGCCGCGCAGCGAAATATTGGCCCTTGCGCGAAGCCCCGACACTGGTTCGCGCCAGCAGCTCTGGCAAGTCCCGTTCTGAGAGGGGGGGCCAGCGGCAAGGGGCGAAGCCCGTGAGGATGATGAGAAAAAGTGCGGTCGGAACTTCCGCGCGGCGCTAGACCCTCGCGCGCGCGCGAACCGCGCTGCGACGCCGACCTCACATGAGGCAGTGGAACGCGGGCGCGCGCCCAGGAGGGCCGCCGCGCGCGCCGGAACCAGCCGCTCGGCGACGCTCGCTGGGCCTTCCCGGCGCCCCCGGCGAAGACGGCGGAGCTCCGCGCGCGGGCCCCGGCCGCGCAGCGGCGCGCGGGGCCCTCGCGCTTCCGCAATTCATTCTTCGGTGGGCGCGTCGACGGCCGCGCCCCTGGCGGCTGGCGCCCGCGCCCGCGGCGGTCTTCGGGCTCGGGCTGCCCCCCGCGCGCGCGCGCAACCGGGGCGCGCCGCGAAGCGCGCGCGCCTGATCGCGCGTCGCGAACGCGATGGCGCCCACGGCCGCCGTCGACATCCGCGCCCAAGAATTGAATTATCCCGGCAAAGCAACCTAACAGCGATGTGTAAAAGCATAGCTGGAAGCATCCCCCTTAAGATTCAGATGAGAATCCAGTTGTAGAGTTCTGCTGTTCTCGCAGTCGTAGTCGCATTCGCGATGACAGTCGCAGTGGCCTGCATTAGCCTCAGCCTCAGCCTCAGCCTGCCTCAGCATCAGCCTCAGCCTCAGCTTCAGCCTCAGCCTCAGCCTCAGCCTGCTCCTGCATCAGCCTCAGTCTGCCTGCAGCCTCGGCCTCAGCCTCAGCCTCAGCCTGAGCCTGCCTCAGCCTCAGCCTCAGCCTCAGCCTGCCTCAGCATCAGCTCAGCCTCAGCCTCAGCCTCAGCCTCAGCCTCAGCCTCAGCCTCAGCCTGCTTCAGCCTCAGCCTCAGTCTGCCTTCAGCCTCGGCCTCAGCCTCAGCCTGCCTCAGCCTCAGCCTGCATCAGCCTCAGCCTCAGCCTCAGCCTGCCTCAGCATCAGCCTGCCTCAGCCTCAGCCTCAGCCTGCCTCAGCCTCAGCCTCAGCCTGCTTCAGCCTCAGCCTCAGTCTGCCTTCAGCCTCGGCCTCAGCCTCAGCCTGCCTCAGCCTGCATCAGCCTCAGCCTCAGCCTCAGCCTGGCTCAGCATCAGCCTGCCTCAGCCTCAGCCTCAGCCTCAGCCTGCCTCAGCCTCAGCCTCAGCCTGCTTCAGCCTCAGCCTCAATCTGCCTTCGGCCTCGGCCTCAGCCTCAGGCTGCCTCAGCCTCGGCCTGCATCAGCCTCAGCCTCAGCCTCAGCCTGCCTCAGCATCAGCCTGCCTCAGCCTCAGCCTCAGCCTGCCTGCCTCAGCCTCAGCCCTCAGCCTCAGCCTCAATCTGCCTCAGCCTCAGCCTCAGCCTCAGCCTCAGCCTCAGCCTCAGCCTCAGCCTCAGCCTCAGCCTCAGCCTCAGCCTCAGCCTCAGTCTGCCAGCCTCAGCCTCAGCCTGCCTCAGCCTGCCTCAGCCTCAGCCTCAGCCTGCAGCTCAGCCTCAGCCTCAGCCTGCTCAGCCTCAGCCTCAGTCTGCCTTCAGCCTCGGCCTCAGCCTCAGCCTGCCTCAGCCTCAGCCTGCATCAGCCTCAGCCTCAGCCTCAGCCTGCCTCAGCATCAGCCTGCCTCAGCCTCAGCCTCAGCCTGCCTCAGCCTCAGCCTCAGCCTGCTTCAGCCTCAGCCTCAGTCTGCCTTCAGCCTCGGCCTCAGCCTCAGCCTGCCTCAGCCTGCCTCAGCCTCAGCATCAGCCTGCCTCAGCAGTCAAAATGTGGCCAGGGAATGGAATTCTGGGAACTTGAAGGCCACGAAGTGGCCTACAGTTTGCTCCGTGCATTTAAAATCATACCCAGGAATGGAGTTCTGGGAAATCCAAGAGCACGAAGTGGCCTACAGTTGGCTCCGGGCATCCAAAATGTGGCCCGGGAATGGAGTTCTGGGAACTCGAAGACCACGAAGTGGCCTACAGTTGGCTCCGGGCATCCAAAATGTGGCCCGGGAATGGAGTTCTGGGAACTCGAAGACCACGACGTGGCCTACAGTTGGCTCCGGGCATCCAAAATGTGGCCCGGGAATGGAGTTCTGGGAACTCGAAGACCACGAAGTGGCCTACAGTTGGCTCTGGGCATTTGAAATGTACGCCGGGGATGGAGTTCTAGCAGCGCCAAGAGCGATTTTGCGAAAGATGTCCCAAACGATTTGGGCTTCGGCGGCAGCCGCCCCGGGTCCCGCCCCGACTCCCCTGTGGAGTCA